ATACCACGACTGCGTCGCATACTTCGCGGCATCGCCTGGCTGTTTCCAGATATCGGTTATTGCCAAGGTACTGGTGTAATAGCTGCTTGCTTGCTGCTGTTTATGGAGGAAGAAAATGCTTTCTGGATGATGGCGACTATTGTGGAAGACTTATTACCCGCATCATACTATTCTTCAACTTTGTTGGGCATACAAGCTGATCAACGTGTCATGCAGACGCTTATTGCAAATTATCTAACATCCGTTGATGAGACGCTAAAGAAGCATGACATCGAATTATCGCTTATAACATTGCATTGGTTCTTGACGCTTTTTGCAAATGTTGTGCACATGAAGATTTTGGTGCGCATATGGGATTGGTTTTTCTATGATGGTAGCATAGTACTCTTTCAACTCACATTGGGTATGCTGAAGTTGAAGGAAAAAGATTTACAAATCTTGGAAAACTCTGCTCAAATATTCAACTCATTGTCAGACATACCGGGTGAAGTGGATGATGTAGAGGTAAGTGATGCGAGGCCAAACGCTGTTATATAAATGATTAAAATTAAGTATGTTTACAGATTCTCTTTAATCAAGCACTTGAAGTTGGTGGCTCCTTGAGTCAAACCGTCATCGATACGCATCGTCGACGTCATCTGGCCTATCTTATGGCCGATCAGGGTGGTCTTGTTGGTAATCCCGAGGCCGTCCCAAATCTGCCCAAACAACATTTGGCACGTCGGCAAGTGCGAAAAAGTAAATCCATATTAGAAACATTGCTATTTCGAGGAGACAACGATTCCGTTGAGCTAAAAAATAAGAATATAAGGCAGACGGAGATTCTAGTCGACTTGCGTGAGGCAATATTAAAAGTAGCACGCCACTTTATAACCATCGAACCGAAGATAGCAGCTCACATACAACTGACAGCAAATTACAGCACTGATTCGCATGCAAAAGACCATGAAAATTTCATCAATGTCGCACGTCGACGCCAACGAAGAGCAAAGGCCTTACATGATTTCGAACGTCATGATGATGATGAGTTGGGCTTCCGCAAAAATGACATCATCACTATAATAAGTCAAAAAGATGAACACTGTTGGGTGGGAGAACTGAATGGATTGCGTGGCTGGTTTCCGGCCAAATTTGTCGAGTTGTTGGATGAACGTAGCAAGCTGTACACTTCTGCTGGTGACGATGCAATTTCCGAAACTGTTACAGATTTAGTGCGTGGCACACTTGCGCCATCCATCAAGGCTTTTCTCGAGCATGGTATGAAAAGACCATCTTTTTTGGGGGGTCCCATACATCCGTGGCTTTTCATCGAGGAAGCGGCTACGCGTGAAGTTGAAAAAGATTTCGAATCGGTATACAGTCGATTGGTGCTATGTAAGACGTATCGCCTAGATGAAGATGGCAAAGTGTTGACTCCAGAGGAGCTGTTGTTCCGTTGCGTGCAAGCAGTAAACCAGTCTCATGATGAAGCGCACGCGCAAATGGACGTGAAGTTGCGTTCATTAATATGTCTTGGCTTGAATGAGCAAGTGTTGCATCTATGGTTGGAAGTACTGTGTTCTTGCCAGGATGTTGTGCAAAAATGGTACTATCCCTGGAGCTATATTGACTCGCCGGGTTGGGTGCAAATAAAGTGTGAGCTAAGGATACTTTCGCAATTTGCTTTCAATTTGAATCCTGACTGGGAATTACCACCAAAAAGAGGCAAGGAATCTCAGCCACTGAAAGATGGTGTGCGCGACATGCTGGTTAAGCATCATCTCTTCTCATGGGATTTGTGAGTCTTGTAGTAGTAGCATATGGAGAAGAAAGTGCATTTGTTTATTTTTAGTTAAGTATGTGTGTAGAAGATTGTATAGCCACTAAACTATGTTTTAAGAGTAAAAATGTGTTTTTGTTAAGTTTTAAAGTTTTAGTTTAAACATTCCCTTAATGACGGTGGTAAAAGGTTGAACTCTGCCGCATTTAGTTGTTTAGCCACAGGTTGAACAAATTTTTAATAATTCTAATTAAAAATATCGAAATTCTTAGCTATGCAAATGCTTATACAATACAAACCTTTGGCAACTACTTACATACATGCTATATACAAGCAAAATTATGCAAATAAACTGAAAAATAGGTGAAGTTCTTCAAACTATCGTACTAACATTTTAAAATATGTATGCTTTCAAATCTAGCCTCTGCAACTAAAAGCAGGCACTATAAGATTTAAACAAACCTCATACAAAAAATTGTATGTTAAAAAATATTTAAATGTTTTATAAAATCAGAGTCTGTATTTAATAATGCTATTATAAATATACATATATCAACTATCGTCCATTGCAATGTGTATTTAAATAAATACTTGAGTTTATGCTCAACATATTTACACGCGCTTGTATGAATGTAAAACGCGTATATCGTTAATTTCGAATTGCATATTAGTCATTGTTTTTAAACATTCATATTTTACTTATGTATGTTGTTCCTTAAAAATAAAAAAAAATTATGTATATTTAACGCATAGAAAAAATATGTTTATATAAACGGCAAATTTTCGTGTTTAAATTCAATTAGAATTAAATGTATTTCTTTCTCATATACATATGTATATCTACATAAATATTACATATCGTCGCTCCCAACGAAGAGTAGCACATCTCAAATTACCGTGGAAGACTAGCACGTTTCACT